TGCAGGGAAGTTGAACCACAGGCCTGCTTCTGTAACTACAGTAGTCACCAAGGATCATTAAACCTCCATAGCTGTGGGAGTCGGTTCATGAATCTGGGCTGTGTTAAGAGGGTCCTTAGAGGCAACCTCCAGCCAACTGTCCACCAGATAGGAAGTCGTGCTGCCCATGAGGGGTTTCTGTGGTGCCAGAGATACTGTGGGTGCAAGCACTGGACCCAAATCCTTGGTCAGATCCTCATCGGGGCAGAAGAAGTGGCATGGGGAGGGAGCGGACCAGCAGAATCATCAGACGTGATGGTGGCAGACAGCTTAGTACCCTGCTCGTGAGGTGGCAAGAGGCCAGGCTGTGTGACAGGAGAGGCTCTAAGTGGCCCTGTTTCCCCATGGACCCTCATATACGAAACACAAATCCAAAACTAAACTTGTTAAGATGCTAGACAGTGACTGCAGACCATTTGATGTCGAGTTCAGGGCCTTTGTGCATCGGTGCATACCTCGGAAGTAGGCGGGAGGTGGCTGTGGGCTTCTAGCTTCTGGGTTTAGAGTAGGAGACACGGGAGGAAACAAGTCCTCAGGGGTAGAGATCGTTTGCTAAAGGAAGGAGAAAAGTGACAACGAGAGGGCATAGCTGAGAGGGTCAGGCCCCCAGATGTGATTCACAGCCCAGGGGCCCATGGAAAAGGAAAACAGACACTTGGGATACATTTGTCAGTATTTTGGCTGGAAGGGGAGTTTTGTTCCTCAGTCTCTACTTTCCTTATGGATTATGAGAAAAGCTGTCTGCTTGGGTTGGGGCAGGGTCTTTGAGCAACTATTCTGAGAGCACACACAATGCAAACTAGCAGTCGTGAAAAATAGTGGCCGCACTGTTCAGAGAGGAGCTTCAGGCCGGCCTGCCAGCCTGGCTGGTCTAGAGTTACAGATTTTGGGATTCTCCAAACTTCCTGTTTGCAGGATTCTCAGAAGTCCACAGAAAGAAGTCACGGTCACAGGAAGGGTGGTCTTAGAGGAAAAATTCCCTCTTTTTCTGAAATGAATAAAACTTGACTGATTTTAGTGGGTTTTTTTAAATGACTTTTTTTCTTTTTGTGGAACTGGGGATTAAACTCAGGCCCTTGCGCTTGCCAGGGAAACACTTTTTCTACTGAGCCATCTCTCTGGCCCTGTTTTTATGTCTTTAAAAAAAAATGTGCAAGCCTTAGGTTTAACCCCCCAGCACTGAACAAAGAAAAAGATCCCCAGCATGGGTAAATAAAAAATAGCATTTTGTTTTCATTTTATTGCAATGAAATGTACCTAATACAAAATTGGCCATTTTAATTATATTTAAGTGTGTAATTTGTAATGTTTGTGTTCAAATAAGATAAAAAGTTGGTAACCCTCTGGTGTTCTCCTAAAGTCTTTTTAAAATTTTTACTGGATTATGAAATTTGGAAACATTATGAATCTTAAAAAGGTTCTTCCTCATTTAATGTTGCAAGGATTTATTGGAAGAGGAAAATCCTCAGGCGATTTATAGAATCCATGGCATGGAAGTGAGATCAGGATTATTTTTTATTATAATACTTTGAGAAAGTTCTTCTAGTAGCTTGTGCATGTTCTCTTCTAGGACTCGATCGCAATCGTCTCATGCTCTGCTGCCCTGCTCAATTACTTCCTTTTTGTATTTCATGTATAAACTCACAGCTCCTATCAAAAACAGCATAGCTATGATTTTAAAGGATCTTTTCTGCACTAGGAATATAAATATACGTAGTTAAAACGTAGGTGTTCCTTAAATCAAGGTTGTGGTCTAGTAAGTAGTTCTGAGATTTATAGATTTTACGTCCAGACTGACTCTTTCAGTTTGAGCCGCAGACACCGAAAACCCCACAGGAAGTTGTCTTTGTAAGTGTTGTGGTTTTTGAGTTTCCTGATCTATTGAATTAGACAGTCAGAAATACATTTGTACAAGGAGGGAAATTATTATTTCTAAATGAGCATTTACTTGAATTTCTTTCCATTGTAGTTATCTAGAGAAATTATGACCGTATTTATCTGTCAATGTTAACACTGTAATATATATTTATTATTATTATTATTATTATTATTATTATTATTATTATTATTATGTGTGTGTGCACATGCTGGGGATTGAACCTAGGGCCTTGTGCACGCCAGGTAAGTATTATACCACTGAGCCACATCTCCAACTACTATAAATTTAAAAAATCTTTTATTGATTTGGGTTTGTATTTGGTACAGGGTCTTGCTCTGTAGCTCAGCCTCCCTCCTGTCTCAGCTTCCCAGTGAGATGATAGGTATGCACTATCATGCCATTTTGGTGACTGGCATGGCATGCAGTACTGGGGATAGAACTTGGGTCCTTGTGCTTGCCAGGCAGGTGCTTAGACTGCCAGGCTATCTCCCCATGCCCAACCCCCAACCCCCAACCCCCAACCCCTATAATTGCATTCAAAGGATAAAGTCTTAACTCAGAGTAAAGGGTGATTCTGAGGATGTGCTTTATGTTTCCTACAATGTATCAAAACTCTTTTCTCAAACTGTAGGAATGGAGATGAGTCAATTTTTGACAGCAGCACTTTATCCTTATTTTTATAAATGACAAAAGGCTTCCCTTTGTTATTTGGTCTAAATCAGATAACATAAAAATACATTTTATTTTAGATATGAACATATCTCTACAGTTTACATGATAGTGTAACACAATTCAACTGAGATGGTCTCATTCAGCTTTACAGTATCACTAAAACATTTTCAAGGGATCCTCTAATTCACTGAATTATTTTTATTGATAGGACTTTTCTCAAAGTGGAACGTGTTTGCTTGCCTTCATTGTTTAAATCATCGCACAGGTGGAACTATTAAAAGTGTATTTTGAGTGTCAGAGTGACAAATGGGGACAGGGAAAGGGCGCAGTGCACTTGTGGCTGTCGTCTCTAGGATATAGGCTAAGATTTTCCCTCCTTTTAGGCAAGTTATACGGCCTGACCCCCTATTAAGTGGGAAAGATAATGAGAAAGGTTCCACAGCCACCTTCTAAAATAAAACGTGACTACAGCTTTTTGTAAATGGTGTCTATTCATTAGGAAATTTTGTCATCATTCTTAAGAGGATAAGTAACAAAAAGTATCCATAAACAAAAGTCACACCTGTGTATAATCTTTTAAATTTTTATTTTTTAAAGAGTTCAAGATAGTATTAAAATGGAAAAATTACAAGTGATACAGAATTTCACTAAACAAAATAATATGAATTGCACAGTATCTGTAATAATGCATAGTGTTGTCTTGAAACTAGTTGTGGATATTAAGAGATATATGCATGCAAAACTGGAAGAAAAAAGAAAGTAATAGATAAGAAATTAAGG